ATGGGTCAGACAAAATTGCAGTTGTTTGCCCCTCCCACAGAATGGATGACTAGAAAGGTTCACTAGACTTGCTGGAAGTTTCACAGCTGGCTAACCTGTTTAGATGTAGGCCTGAAAGTACAGTGCCAATGCCAAGGCCACTGCACACTCTGTGCTGACCACTGGGAGCCTGACTATCAGCCCAGTTCTCTTCTACTGGGCGTGGATGCTGAGTGGGGCCCACCCTTACCTGGGTGCTACGCTCCTTTCCTGCTGTCAAGGCCCAAGTCTGCGGGTTTTGACCTCTCTCATCGTGGAGTCGCAGGTCACCTCCTGCATCCAGCAGTTTGCTGAGGATCCACTGACTGCCTGAAAATGCTGCTGCATGGACAGGGGTGCTCCCATCAAAGCAGCGGCTGGGGAGGGAGATGGGTACAATGGGTGTCCATGGCAATGCTCCTGCATTCCACAGAGCCAGGCTCGGTGTGCAACACAGGGCTCCCATTCTACAAGAATAGGGAATGAGGGATATAACAACATAATTTGTAAGTCCCCTGCCTGTGACCTTTCTTTCTTTCCTTTTTTTTTTTTTTTGAGACAGAGTCTTGCTCTGTCGCCCAGGCTGGAGTACAGTGGCGGGATATCAGCTCACTGCAACATCCGCCTCATGGGTTCAAGTGAATTGACTCAGACTCCCGAGTAGCTGGGACTACAGGTGCCCACCACCATGCCCAGCTAATTTTTGTAATTTTAGTAGAGATGGGGTTCACCATGTTGGCCAGGCTGGTCTCGAACTCCTGACCTCAGGTGATCCATTTGCCTTGGCCTACCAAAGTGATGGGTGTACAGGCGTGAGCCACCGCGCCTGGTGCCCAAAGGAACTTTCTACATAGACACATATCCCTTTTTCTCCCTCCTTCCCTCAACCCTTAAAGGAAGTATCATTTCCCAATTTACAGATGAGGAAATAAAATGGCAAAGCTGAGGTTCATTCCCTGGCATGGACCTGGTTCCGAATCCAGTTTTCTTTCCCCAGCATCGTAATATTGGCTGCCTGAAAACAATGTCTTCACATCTGCAGTGTCCTGGGATCAGGCTGGTCAAGCACAGCCTAACAAGGCACCACCTCTCTCAGGTAAGAATGCCTCCCCCTCTCCAAAAAACATCCTGTGGTAGAGGCCCACAAAACCTTGGCATCAGCAGCAGTCAAGGATCTATTTCAGAAAAATTCCACGAAAGCCAATAAACTATCTGAAGCATGAAGGGACTGCCTTTATTGTGTTCAGGATATGGTGAGGATATGATGTATAGCCTTAGTTTCCTAACCTGGCTGCACATCAGAATAAATAGATTCTTAAATGAAAATAGGCTGGGTATGGTGGCTCACGCCTATAATCCCAGCACTTTAGGAGGCCGAGGCGGGTGGATCACGAGGTCAAGAGATTGAGACCATCCTGGTCAACATGGTGAAACCCCGTCTCTACTAAAAATATAAAAATTAGCTGGGCAAGGTGGTGCATACCTGTAGTCCCAGCTACTTGGGAGGCTGAGGCAGGAGAATTGCCTGAACCCAGGAGGCGGAGGTTGCGGTGAGCCAAGATCGCACCACTGCACTCCAGCCTGGATAACAAGAGCGAAACTCCGTCTCAAAAAAAAAGAAAATATGTAGGCCAGGCGTGGTGGCTCACCCCTGCAATCCCAGCACTTTGGGAGGCCGAGGTGGGTGAATCACCTGAGGTCTAGCCAACATGGCCAACATGGTAAAACCAGCCTGGCCAACATGGTAAAATCCCATCTCTACTAAAAATACAAAAATTAGGCCAGGTGCAGTGGCTCGCGCCTGTAATCCCAGCCTTTGGAAGGCCAAGGTTGGCAGATCATGAGGTCAGGAGTTCGAGACCAGCCTGGCCAAGATGGTGAAACCCTGACTCTACCAAAAATACAAAAATTAGCCAGGCATGATGGTGGGCACCTGTAATCTCTGCTACTTGGGAGACTGAGGCAGGAGAATTGCTTGCACCTGGGAGGGGAGGTTGCAGTGAGCCGAGATTGTGCCACTGTACTCCAGCCTGGGTGACAGAGCAAGAATATCTCAAAAAAAGAAAAAATGGCTGGTTGGGATGGCTCATGCCTATAATCCCAGCACTCTGGGAGGCTGAGATGGGTGGATCACCTGAGGTTGGGAGTTCAAGACCAGCCTGACCAAGATGGAGAAACCACGTCGCAAAACCCCAGTTTCTGGTTCTGTTTCAATGGGAACTGAAAAAATAACCACCACCCACCTTCCTTCTCTGTCAAAAAGGTGTCACATAAGCTAGTATTTGGGAAGGCCCTAGGAAAAGCCAAAGTGCTTTACAAAAAGAGATGTTTGGCCAGGCCGAGTAGGACCCTGTCTCTCTCTTTTTTTTTTAAGTTCAAACTCATTTCCCTTTTATTAAAGTACAGGTTACCATTACATGGCTTGGTACTCAATAAAGGGAAAATTATTCAAATAATTTATCATCAGTATTTCCAGGTGACTGTCTACACTCAAGTAGCAATATCAATAAATCCTCAATAAATCCTTGGGAAACCCATCCATGGGGTTTACACTTTGTCAAGGCCCAGTTCCTCTGGAGTGGAGATTCCCAGTTCATTTAAAGTTGGTCTAAGTTCCTGGATGACATAGGGGTAGATTTCCTTATGAGGTCCTGCTTTGTCCTTGACAGCCTCTAGGATGCAAACTGTACTTAGCAAAATCATTGAACCATCTGCATGCCCACAAAGCAGCATCAATAATTTTGGGCTCTGAGGACCCTGTCTCAAAAAAGAACTAAAGAAAAGAAAAGAAGCAGCTGTTCACCTGTCACTAATTCATTACATTGGGTTGCTGTTCCATATTAAAATTTAGACCAATAATTAAACTCCAATTCTTTTACAGCAATAAGAGTCAGGTAAAAGTCACTCTTTTTTTTTTTATTTTTATTTTTGAGACAGAGTATCACCCTTGTTGCCCAGGCTGGAGTGCAATGGCACCATCTCAGGTCACTGCAACCTCCACCTCCTGGGTTCAGGTTTCTCCTGTCTCAGCCTCCCAAGTAGCTGGGATTACAGGCATGTGCCACCATACCCAGCTAATTTTTTGTATTTTTAATAGAGACGGGGTTTCACCATGTTGGTCAGGCTAGTCTCGAACTCCTGACCTCAAGTGAACCACCTGCCTCGGCCTCCCAAAGTGTTGGGATTACAGGCATGGGCCACCACACCCAGCCCAAAAGTCACCCTTTCTGACAGAATGATGCCAAGTATATTTAATTAGTGAAGAACTAAATTGGCTGTGCAGATGTCAAACTGCCTAAGTGAGTACAGTACATAATACAAATTACAATCTGGAGTGGAAATATGCAAACAGTGCTATTAATGACTAAGGAACATATTAATGACTAATCTCAATCACATTTCATTGAGTCCAGTATAACTGCTTAGAAAAATTTTATTAGCAGTTAAAATTATGTTTCAACATATGTATACAACTATATATCATTGATATAAATTAACAACGGTTCTTTTCTTTTAATGTTTTTCAAATTAGTTTCTAAACACCCCAACTCATCTTTAACAGCACAACCTCCATTTTCTAGACACCAATTGATTGTACTTACTGATTTGGATCTGACCCATAATCCACCAGAACATCAACTAATTTCATAAGGCCCAATAATGCCGCAACAAAAAGTGGTGTTTGCCCCCTGGAGTTAACTGCATCGACATAAATTCCTGCAAAGGAAATACCAGAATCAATGCAAATATTAGTAATTTTCCTGAGATGGAACTGGGTGGGGAGAGGGGAGGGAATTAAATGTCTTTATGGTGTACTTTCATATACTGCATACAGCCGGGTATGGTGGCACATGCCTGTAATCCCAGCTACTTGGGAGGCTGAGACAGGAGAAACCTGAACCCAGGAGGTGGAGGTTGCAGTGACCTGAGATGGTGCCATTGCATTCCAGCCTGGGCAACAAGGGTGATACTCTGTCTCAAAAATAAAAATTTAAAAAAAAAAGAGTGACTTTTACCTGACTCTTATTGCTGTAAAAGAATTGGAGTTTAATTATTGGTCTAAATTTTTAAAAAAACTACATTTTAAACTTAAAAAAAATTTTTTCTAAAGACCTTCATTAGTTGCACATAGATATACTGGAAGGCAACCTGTGTTTATTCATCAAAAATATTTACAGAGAGTTGCATTGAAGCATTTATTTCACCATACTTTGGTATATTATAACATAGATTAAAATGTTCTCAGTCATGGGAAGGGATGAGAGAGGGACTAATGATACTGTGTGTGTTGGGAGAAAGGCTGTAACATAAAAAGAGCTCACTGGAATACAAATCCTCACCAAAAAAAGAAAGTGTAAAAATTAATTCAATAAGGGAAAACAAAACACACAAAAACAGGCCAATTTCCAGTACAATCAAACAATGGTGCCATGAATAATTAAGACTAGAAACAAAAAGCTAAAGGATTAACAACCAAAACCAAGTAGAAAAAAAGGAAAAACGTAAGTAGATGTCAAACATGCCTTCCCTACCAAGAAAAAAATCAGTCCTCCAGAACACCAAAAATCACTAAGAGTTTTAAAAATTATAACTACCCAAACCTGGCCAAGTGCCGTGGCTCACATCTATAATCCCAGGACTTTGAGAAGCCAAGGCAGGTCAATTACCTAAGACCGGAAGCTGAAGACCAAGACCACCCTAACCAATGTGGCAAAACTATCTCTTAACTAATCCTAAAAAGTTAGCAAAGTGCAGTAGTACATTCATAACCCCAGCTACTCGGGAAACTAAATCCAAACAACAACACTTAAATACAGATTACAGTCAGTTAAAATAATTCTATCTGCCATTAAACTAAAACCGAAGACAATCTGCGCTCTTACTATCAAAAGACTCAAAATTTCTTCAACAAAAATTCTGTATAGTAAAATAACTTTACTAAACACAATGATTCTATTTCTAATACTCAAATAAAACCAAAAACCACTCAGACTGTGTTCTTTCCCTCTTACTCTCCCGGAAGAAGAGAAGAACGATCATCAACGGTAAATGGTACTTGCACTAATGCAACGCCAAAAACCAACTTCACGCGCAGGAAAGAACACTACATCTCCTCCTCGTGGTTTCTGGTGCTCTACACATTCAGAGAAACTTCTCTAGTAACACACTATAGAAATGATCCCTGAAAGTATAGTCTTACCTTCAAACTACATGCCTTCCCAACGTGGAAGAAACTCACACTCATATTAAGGATGGTGAGTTTTTTTGTAGGCACCATTGTCGCCGGAGAATACTGATATATGATTTTCTAAAACCCATCTTTCTATTACCGAAGTTCAACAAAGCCTTTAAAAATAAGCTCAAAATTTCGAAGTTACCTTAGGCACCCATGCTAATTAACATATGGTAGCAAAACAGCCAATCACTCGCCAGTTACTTCCTAACCCTGCCCCACTTTCTCTACACGTAACACTGACGACTATAAAGCGCGCCGGAGCGCCAGAAACTGTCTCGGTTGGGACACACCTCAGTTGGGGCTGATGATCTGAAGCCGGGAATCCCTTGAGGAAAAACTAAAGCGTGAATGTGAAAGCGGCAGTTCAAAGCCAAAGAGTATGATATCTGCATAGCACACCCTATTAAATTTTATCCTGTGATCAACATTCCAGACATGTAAATATTTTAGATTTCTTCTCCTAAAACCAGGGAGGTTTTATTCTGCATAGCATTGCTGCGTTTATTTTTTGGGACTGGGTCTCGCTCTGTCTCCCAGTCTGGCCTTGAACTCCTGGTCTCAAGTGATCCTCCAACATCAGCCTTCCAAAATGTTGGGATTACAGGTGTGAGCCACCACACCCGGCCACTGCTGTTTAACCAAGCAGGACAATATATTCCTCTCGTTTAAGCTTCAGTAACTTCCCATTTCTTGAGGTAGAGACAAAACTTCTCTATATACTTATGTGAGAAAATATTTTAAATGGCCCATTTTCAAGGAATAATAAATCTAAGTACTGGCAGCCAGCCTGCAAATGCAACTAACCACACAGCTCATGCACCTAGGTCACAATAAGCGAACAGAATGTAGAGTAAGGGTCAGCCCATAAAGGGAAAAAAGTTTCATTATTGGGAAATTGAAACTTAAGGAAGGGGACAGGGTATAACCTTATAAGGGTGATAATGAAACTTAGGTGTCATCAGGGAAGATTGTAACCAACATCACAGTTACAACCAATGAGGAACTGGGGGAGGGACTTGTATGCTAGGAAATAAATTATTACCAGACACCCAATCTTGCAAGACTCTTATTAAAAGTCTAACTTTCAAGGCCGGACATGGTGGCTCACACCTGTAATCCCAGTACTTTGGGAAGCCAAGGCAGGTGGATCACGACATCAGAAGTTCAAGATCAGCCTGGCCAACGTGATGAAATACCGTCTCTACTGAAAGCACAAAAATTAGCTGGGCGTGGTGGTGCACGCCTATAGTAACAGCTACTCCGGAGGCTTAGACAGGAGAATTGCTTCAACCTGGCAGGTGGAGGTTGCAGGGAGCCAGGATTGCACCACTGTACTCCAGCCTGGGCGACGGAGTGAGACTCCGTTGCCAAAAAAAAAAAAGGAGGCAAAGCCAAAAAGTAGGCAAGAGATTAGAGAAAACCTGGAAGAAATGGGTCACAGTGACAAGGAAGGTTAAGCGTTTCAAAAAGGATCAGTCAATAGTATCAAAGCCTGAGTTATCTAGTAAGAACACACTGGGCTGGGTGTGGGGGCTCAGGCCTGTTATCCTAGCACTTTGGGAGGCTGAGGCCAGGAGTTCACTTGAGGCCAGGAGTTCAAGACCAGCCTGGCCAACATGGTGAAACCCTGTCTCTACTAAAAATACAAACGCAAAAATTACCCAGGCTTGGTAGCACATGCTTGTAATCCCAGCTACTTGGGAGGCTGAGGCAGGAGTTTTGCTTGAACCTGAGATGCAGTCATTACAGGGAGCTGAGATCATGCCACTGCACTCCAATCTGGGCAACAGAGTAAGACCATGTCTCAAAAAAAAAGAGAGGAAGAAACAGTGTTCTTGGTGAGAGCAGTGCTAGTGTGGTTCACATGTCTTACTGGTCAGGGCTTGCTGTCTTACATTTGCAGTATGTCTGTGTCCTCTACCAGACTGTCTCTCCTACACCAGAGGGTAGGAACTGCCAAATGTATCTCCCCTACTTTCAGTGCCTTGTTCACTTACCTGCCCAACACAAGCCAGACTAAGAGTAGAGAAGAACAGCAGAGAACTAGCAAAAGGACAATTCTGCATGCATCTCTCAGAATTATGCACATCATGAGGACAAGGCACTAACCTGTTCAGGGCACCTCTATGAAGATATTGTATAGTGAACTTTGGAAGATAGATAGTATCTACATTCAGAGCAAAGTGAATACAGGCTTACTATCCAGTATAATAAAAACAGTATCTCCAGGCCGGGCGCGGTGGCTCAAGCCTGTAATCCCAGCACTTTGGGAGGCCGAGGCGGGTGGATCACGATGTCAAGAGATCGAGACCATCTTGGTCAACATGGTGAAACCCCGTCTCTACTAAAAATACAAAAAAAATTAGCTGGGCATGGTGGCGCGTGCCTGTAATCCCAGCTGCTCGGGAGGCTGAGGCAGGAGAATTGCCTGAACCCAGGAGGCGGAGGTTGCGGTGAGCCGAGATCGCGCCATTGCACTCCAGCCTGGGTAACAAGAGCGAAACTCCGTCTCAAAAAAAAAAAAAAAAAAAAACAGTATCTCCAGCCAGGCACGGTGGCTCACACCTGTAATCCCAGCATTTTGGGAGGCTGAGGCAGGCAGATCACCTGAGGTCAGGAGTTCGAGACCAGCCTGGCCAACATGATACAACTCCGCCTCTACTAAAACTACAAAAATTAGCCGGGCATGGTAGAGGGCGCCTGTAATCCCAGCTACACAGGAGGCTGAGGCAGGAAAATCGCTTGAACCCAGGAGGTGGAGGTTGCAGTGAGCTGAGATTGCACCATTGCACTGCAGCCTGGGCTGACAGAGCAAAACTCTGTCTCAAAAAAAAAAAAAAAAAAAAAGTTAAAAGAAAAGGAAAAAAATGCTGATATTCTTGCTACTGCTGTTGCTATGAGTAATAAACCATCATTCATCTGTGACCCCAAGAGAAGGGTCATCTATACACCTGTAACAGTCTAATTTATCAGTCTAATTTATTCATAGTTATTGACAGGAAGAAATTACAGTCAAGGAGGCAAAAAATTAAATCAACTAAGGACTCCAAGGGGTTCTCTCTCTCTCTCTCTTTTTTTTTTTTTAAGATGGAATCTCGCTCTATTGCCCAGGCTGGAGTGCAGTGGCAAGATCTTGGCTCACTGCAACCTCTGCCTCCCAGTTTCAAGTGATTCTCCTGCCTCAGCCTCCTGAGTAGCTAGGATTAATGGCACGCAACTCAGCCTCCCAAGTAGCTGGGATTACGGGCACCCACCACCATGCCCAGCTAACTTTTGTATTTTGAATAGAGACAGGGTTTCACCATGTCGACCAGGATGGTCTCAAACTTCTGACCTCAAGTGACCTTCCTGCCTAGGCCTCCCAAAGTGCTGGTGTAAGCCACTGTGCCTGGCCCTCCAAGGGCTTCTCTAGGGATCAGAAAACACTTAGGGAAGGCACTGAGCAACAATCTTGAGGGGATACAGGTGGCGGGAAAGAAAAATATGTAAAAACCCCTGTCCCTACAACTTAAACAAATATGCCCTTTGGAGATTTCCTAACAAAAAATAACACTTATTCATTCAACAAATAATTATTTTAGGCCAGCTATAAAGGTAACTTAAAACAGTTCCACAAGAAGTGACCAGAGGCAGCTATGACATGGTACAAAGACTGACCAAAAAAGTTAAAAGACCTGGATTCAAATGTCCTAATACCACCCTCATTAGCCCAGGGCCTCCAGATGGGTCAGTCACCTAACCCATCACTGTTTTGTAGATGGAGAAATGGAGAGAGGTCAAGCAATTTGCCACAGGTCACAAAGCAGTCTGGTTCTAAAGTCCATGCACTATACCACTGTCTCTGTGACATTGTGAAATATATATTTGGAGCTGGACACAGTGGCTCAACACCTGTAATCCCAGCACTTTGGGAGGCAGAAGTGGGTGGATCACTTGAAGTCAGGAGTTTCAGACTAGCCTGGCCAACATGATGAAACTCCAACTCTACTAAAAATACAAAAATTAGTTGGGCATGGTGGTGGGCGCCTGTAATCTGAGCTACTTGGGGGGGCTGAGGCACAAGAATCGCTTTAAGCCAGGGGGCGGAGGTTGCTGTGAGTGTGCCACTGTGCTCCAGCCTGGGTGACAGAGTAAGACGCTGTCTCAATAAATAAATAAATATATATATATATATTTGGTCTTTGTGCCTGTTTCCTGACATAGAGCGTCTAAAACTCTTTGAACCTCTGGAATGATGAGTATCTTTTGTGCTGATTGTGGCTAGCGGCTATAATCACCCAGATAGCAACAGGATGACAGCTGGTCAGTGGAAAGACCAAAGCATGAGAGGGTTGGGACTCCTAGCCCACCCCTCTCACTCCCCCAACCTTTGGAGAGGGGAGAGGGGCTGAAGGTTAAATTGATTACCAATGGCCAGTGACTTAATCTACCATGCCTACAAGATGATGTTTTCCTTAAAAACCCAAAAGGACTGGGTTGGGAAGCTTCTCAATAGCTGAACATGGAGAGGTTCCTGGAGGATGACCCAGGGAGGGCATGTAACTTTCAAGCCTTTTCCCACATGCCTTGCTCTAGACATCTCTTCCATCTGGCTGTTCATTTGTATCTTTTCTTTTCTTTTTCTTTTTTTTTTTTTGAGGTGGAGTTTCGCTGTTGTTACCCAGACTGGAGTGCTATTAGCATGATCTCGGCTCACCACAACCTCCGCCTTCTGGGTTCAAGCAATTCTCCTGCCTCAGCCTCCCGAGTAGCTGGAACTACAGGCACGCACCACCATGCCCAGCTAATTTTTGTATTTTTAGTAGAGACGGGGTTTCACCTCGTTGACCAGGATGGTCTCGATCTCTTGACCTCGTGATCCACCCGCCTTGGCCCCCAAAGTGCTGGGATTATAGGCATGAGCCACCACGCCCGGCCCATCTGTATCTTTTCTAATATTTTTACAATAAATGGGTAAACATA